GTCCTTTGTCTCTTACTCCTTCGAGGAGCTTCACTGACATCCTCCTCAGAGACAAGTTCATGTGTATGTTCAGTTTGTTCTGGTGGTGTAATTAAACTGGGAATTATTTCAGAGGGTTGGTTCGAACCACTATGTGTATCCTTCATTGGGAAAAAGCTCTCAAAGAAGGTAGCATCACGAGACTCCATAATTGTACCAACATGCATGTCCGGTATCTCGGATTTAACTATTAAAAATCTATAGGCAATGCTATGATGAGCATATCCCAGAAAAACACAGTCCACAGTCTTAGGTCCAAGTTTGCGCTTCTTCGTTATTGGTACATTGACTTTCGCCAAGCACCCCCATGTGCGCAAATAAGAAAGTGATGGTTTTCTACCAATCCATATCTCATATGGTGTTTTGTCCTTATTTCTGTTAGGAACTCTGTTTAACACATGATTTGAGGTCAACAATGCCTCCCCCCACCATGCCTTAGGCAGTCCCGCGGTGTCCAACATGGCATTCACCAAGTCAGTCAGTGTGCGGTTCTTCCTTTCAGCAATCCCATTAGACTCGGGAGAATAGGGAGGCGTCCTCTCATGTATGATGCCATGTTCCTCACAGAATAAGTCAAACTCGTTCGAGAAAAACTCTCCACCACGATCAGACCTAAGCCTTTTTATCTTTCTGTCAAGTTGATTTTCAACTTCTGCCTTATAAATTTTAAAATAGTCTAGAGCCTCGTCTTTCGTTTTCAACAAGTACACGTAGCAAAATCTAGTAGCATCATCAATCAATGTCATGAAATATCGTTTTCCACCCTTCGTCAACACCCCATTCATTTCACAAAGATCTGAATGTAGGAGTTCTAGTGGTGCCAAGTTTCTCTCCTCGGCAGCCTTGTGAGGCTTGCGAGGTTGCTTCGATTGCACACAACTATGGCACTTAGAACCTTTGACAATGGAAAACTTAGGAATTAAACACATGCTGGAAAGCCGAGACATCAAGCCAAAATTAATATGACATAAACGTGAATGCCAAACAATAGCCTCATCATCCACACTGCCACAAATATGGTTCACAGACTTATTGCAGAAATCAGAAAGGGAAAAGCGGAACAGGCCTCCGCACTCATAACCTTTACCAATAAAATATCCATGTTTAGACACGACTACTTTATTAGACTCAAAAACCAACTTAAATCCGTCTCTAGTCAGACGGGAGCCACTAACAAGATTCCTGTCGATAGAAGGGACATGCTGCACGTTCTTCAGCTGCACGATCTTTCCCGAAGTAAACTTCAGATCTACCGTGCCAACACCATGAACAGAAGCATGTGACCCATTCCACATTAGAACGGTGGAACCCCGTGCGACCTGATAAGAAGAAAACAATGAGATGTCAGCACAAACATGTACATTGGCCCCAGTATCAACCCACCAATTAGTAGATTGATTAACTGAAAAAACAGTAGGTAAATTACCATACCCGCTTCCATCTCCAGTGTTGCCAATGGTCACATTAGCAGACTTAGAAGTCTGCCCTGCAGGTGCCTTCATCCCCTTGCGCTGTGGACACTTCCTAGCCAGATGACCAACTTGGCCACACACAAAGCAAGTCCTCTCATCCTGATTAGGATTGTTGTTGTTCTTCTTCTGCTTCTTGAAGTTGGTGGTCTGCTGAGCTTTGTATTTCCCCTTGCTCTTGTTCTGGGCCTTGTGCACAACATTGGCACTGGACTGCCCACCATCGCCCTTAGACGCGGCATCTTTTTCCCGAGCTTTCTCCTCAACATCAAGAGACGCAATCAACCCCTCAACGGAGTATTCCTGTCTCTTGTGTTTGAGTGCAGTACCGAAACTCCTCCAAGATGGAGGTAGTTTTGCAATAATGCACCCGGCCACAAATTTGTCGGGTAAGACACACTTAAGGAGTTCGAGTTCCTTAGCCATGGTTTGTATCTCATGAGACTGTTCGACTACAGAACGGTTGTCAGCCATTTTGTAGTCATGAAACTGCTCCATGATATACAGATCATTGCTAGCATCAGTAGCACCGAATTTAGTATTCAGTGCATCCCACAACTCCTTAGCGTCGGTCATATGCATATACACCTCGACCAGACGATCGCCAAGAACGCTAAGAATGCATCCCACAAAGAGAGTAGTGGCTTCCTCGAATTGCTTCTGCTGTTCAGCAGTAAGAACTCCTTCAGGTTTGCCAGTACTCACCCAGAAGCATTTCATAGCTGTCAGCCACAGAGTGACCCTGATCTGCCATCTCTTAAAATGCACACCGGTGAATTTATCCGGCCTCAGTGCATCGGCAAAACCAGCCATAGTAAAATCACAGTGCCTATAATAAGGTTTTTGGATTGTTGATATTATGGGCATATAATGATTTAATTTATTCCATAAATAAATCATGATATTACAGATGAAAACTAGCATGAACGCATCATTAGATCTACACATGTAAACTACGCAGAATAACATGAACAGATCAAATATGCGCAACATATTGAACACGTACCGAGGTGACGAAAAGACCGGCTGCTTGGTCGAAACTTTTCGCAGGTGTCTACGAAGGCACGAAACACGCGAGCGAAGAGGAAGGCGAGCCGTCGCGAACGAACAGGGAGCAGTCGCGCGAAGCGCTTCCCAAAAACCTTATTGCCGCCTTCTCCCGGTGCAGGACGTCAAAGGCAGAGGTTCCGGAGACCTGCTCTCCCGATCGCTGGTGCACGCCGGCGAGCGGGATGGAGTAGTCTACGAGCGACGGCGCCGGTGCAGGACGTCAAAGGCAGAGGTTCCGGAGACCTGCTCTCCCGATCGCTGGTGCACGCCGGCGAGCGGGATGGAGTAGTCTACGAGCGACGGCGCAGTACAGAGTAGGAGGCAAACCCTAGATTGATTGTCGCCCTGCCAGGCGAGGCGAGGCGAGCGAGCGCACGCGTTTCCCCTCTTCTCTCCACCACACATGTTTCAAGTGGCTAGGAGGGCATCCTCCCTTTTAAGGAGGTCCCCCTCTCCTAGAATAAGCAAGGTGGTACTAAACTCCACATGCATGCCATCCCATGAGGTGGGCTTTTGTGATTTTCCAAAGAATTAATCTTCGAGTGGGCTAAGGCCCATTCATTAATTCCAACAAAAACATGATTAATATTTTATGCGTGACTTGTCTTTTTAATTCTTTTATAATTTTTTCAAATAAGACGGTCCAACATTGGACACAGAAACCAGGGTTTGTCTTTTTTTTTTTTGTTTGACGGAGGGGAGTATGCCACAGGTTTCCTTTACAGTCTGTGCAGCGCAATCCTCGTGACACTGACGAATATGAATAGTTGAACACGACACGATGTGACAAATTTGCATCCGCAGTTAACTCGATCTTAAATTCGAGACGACCGATCAATACGCCATCAACGTCTTGTCATCATGTGTAAGACGTACGATCCAAGATACTCCCTCCGTCCAATAATATAAGGGATTTTAAGTTTTTACTTGCAACGTTTGACCACTCGTTTTATTCAAAAATTTTTAAAATTATTATTTACTTTATTTGTGACTTACTTTATTATCTACAGTATTTTAAATATAACTTTTCGTCTTTTATATTTGCAAAAAAATTTGAATAAGACGAAATTTGAATAAGACGAGTAGTCAATAAAAAAAACTCAAAATTCCTTATAATATGGGACAGAGGGAGTACTATATTATTGATCCAAGTTTTCATCGGGTGCCGTTCTAAGTTCTACTAATTAACACGTCGTCGTGGTTCATTTGGATTGACTGTGGCTCTCCATTTTTCATCGTGGTTCTTCGTCCATAAGAGTCCCATATTATTCTCAAGTTAATTAGATATGGTGTATGCACAGGATTAAAGCAAGCAAGCAAACCAAGTGGAGTAGTTTATGTTTTGGAAATAAGGGCAACACTAATATATATGGTTAAAGTAGTCCATATAGATGGGACTTACATTTGTGGACTTTAACTATTGCAACATTCACAATGTATATAGTTAGTAAGTAGTAGGAGGAGGAGAGAGGAAATAGAGACAAATGACATATTTTATTCTATATGGACAGCCCATATGCTTATGGATGACTTTTGCTATTTCTCTCCTATGAACTACTTCCACTGTGTGGTTAGGTAGCTGAATGTATTATTTTATTGACTATGGACTGTTTTTGAAGTACATTGTGGATGCCCTAAGTACTCCATTGAAAACTGTAGGGTTCATTAAAAAAAGGGCCATTCTCACCCCAGTCTAAGAGGCAAGGGGCCCTCTCATTTTTAAAAAAAAGAGTTATATTGCCCTTCTAACTACCAATGTGGACTCACGGAGTCAAGATGAACTAAAACAAATTAGGAGTGAAACTTAACTGCTTTACTCTGCTTTTGATCAAATATAGCTTTATATGAGTGTCTGAATTTATACTAAGTGGTGGAAACATACGAACTATAGTTAAAAAAATATATCTTAACCAAGTTTGTGGATGGAAGCGGGTAGCGTGCGTTCCAACCCAACCCACACAGACAAAAGTCTAATAGATTTTTAGTCTTAAAACTGTTAGATTTTTTTAATTCTTCTAAGCTGTAATATTAATTTTGAATAAAAAACTTTGTACATATGTATAATACTCATCATTAGGAGCACATGTCTAAGTTTTTTTTAAAAAAACAATTATGACGTTTACTAATTAATGTGTATGAAGAGTGTGCAAAAAACTCGTGGGCATAAAATACGTTTTCGTATATGCCACGGTACAACACGATCAAGCATTCAAAAGCTAGTAGTGACGTGCTTACTCCATCCGTCCCAAAAAAAAGACAAACCTAAGTTTTTGTGTCCAATTTTGATTGTCCGTCTTATATGAAATTTTTTTGTAATTCGTATTTTTATTGTTGTTAGATGATAAAACATGATTAATATTTTATGCGTGACTTGTCTTTTTAATTTTTTTCATAATTTTTTTAAATAAGACCCAGGGTTTGTCAAACGTTGGGCACAAAAACCAAGGTTTGTCTTTTTTTTTTTTTTTTACGGAGGGAGTACGTGCGTTGCGTAGCACCACAAGAAAATAGGCACACACCCTATACATGCACAAGATAGGTAAGTACCTGCGCAGGCCTACCTACAGGAGTCATGCAGTGCATGCACGCGAAGCTGTCGTCGTGCCTGCCATCACACACAACAATCATTACAACAGATCGACATGGAAATGGCAGCTAGCCCCAGCTTTCGCCGCAGCAGCAGTCACAAAAGTCATTCACCTCCTCCACCTGTCTGTTTGCCGTGGATCACCCCCTAACGATATGCACACATATTGGCTTGTGCCCAAGCAAATCACGCATTTCCCAAACCAAACCACCTCCACAACCCAAATCCCCCATGACATCAACCTATTGATCCTACCATTCAATGTGATCGATCTACACACTCTTGCTAATATAACTCCAATATTCCCCCTTAATTCCGTCCTCATCCATCCTAACCACCACCTTCTTATAAATTAATTAACACAAATCATACTGATCGTTCCGCACAGGAAGATAATCATCAAGATTGATCCAAGAAGGAGCGAGAGCTTAGCTTATCTGATCAGATCAAAGATGGCGGCGATCTCTCCGGCGAGCGATGGCGTGGGGCGGCGGCGGAGGAGGGTGTTGATGTTCCCGATTCCGTTTCAGGGGCATGTCACGCCGATGCTGCAGCTGGCCGACGTGCTCCGCTCCCGCGCCGGCCTCGCCGTCACCGTCTTCCACGCCCCCGTCAACGCGCCCGCCGCCGCCGAGCAGTCGGCGGCGGAGGAGGACTACCGCTTCGTGACCGTGGGGGCCGGAGTGGCGGGGGAGGCGGCGGCGCTGATGCCCACGGGCGGCAGCGGCAGCGACTTCGCCGGCGCGCTGATGCGCCTCGACGCGCTCCTCCGGGCGCCGTTCGACGACGCCCTCCGCCAGGCGCTCCTCGCCGACGACGAGGAGGAGGCGGCGGCGACGTGCCTAGTGGTGGACTCGAACCTGCGCGGGGTGCAGGAGGTGGCGGAGCGGCGCGGCGTGCGGACGCTGGCGCTGCGCACCGGCGGCGCGTGCTGCCTCGTGGCGTACATGGCCTTCCCGGAGCTCTGCGGCAAGGGCGTCCTCCCGCCGCTGTCGCGAGGTATACAACCCCGGCCGGCCAAGTGGGCCATCGGAGATTTCGATTTTGATAATTAATTCTGGTTTATCCGAGCCCAGATCCGTAATTAGCTCATCACTAATTAGTAATTATTAAGCTCGAACGGCCCACCAATTGTTGGCAAGTTTAGTATCACCAATTAAAGTACCAGGGCCCTTGCGTCAACTTATTACTATATACCCCCGCAAAAAAAAACTTATTACGAAGTACTATATACATATATATCCCTCCTATCACAAATATTTAATAATGTTTTAGAAGTTTAATCAAATCTAATCCTAAGCGATAGAACTATTTTCATGAAATCGAATTATTCCTTTTCTAATATAGTAGTAGTTGTCACACGTGAGTGAATTATATCAATTCTATTGGCAAGGCACAATATTAGAACTAAGGTATTCCCTGTACTTTGCTGCGGGAATTACTAAGTAATTTTAATGTTATTTTTTTTACAATTTAGCTAGGAGTAAAAAGAAAAAAAAATCAAATCTAAGGGCTTATCAATATTTATCAAATTTACACTTTAATGTAAAACATATTGATAAGTATATATTAAATATTATAAAAATGATAAAGAAATTTGTAAAACTATTGTGGAAATGATGTGAGGTAATGATTGAATATGCTTGCATGTTGACGGAGCTCGTGGCTCCTCACCGGGAGACCGCACAGGCCCCCCTTTGCCGGTTCGGCCGGGGGCTTAGGGTGAAATCTCAAGCTCTCTCGGTATGTGAAAAGATCGCCAGCTAGGAAGAAACGCGAGACACGGGTGATGTATACAGGTTCGGGCCGCTGGGAAGCGTAATACCCTACTCCTGTGTTTTGGTGGATTTGTTCGGTATGTGGAAAGATCGCCAGCTAGGAAGAAACGCGAGACACGGGTGATGTATACAGGTTCGGGCCGCTGGGAAGCGTAATACCCTACTCCTGTGTTCTGGTGGATTTGTGTATGAACAAGTAACAAAGTGTCAACCAGCCCCCAATCGCCCTGGGATCGGATCTGGAGAAGGCCTTGTGTCCAAAAATCCTCTCTCTATCTAAGTGGGCAAGGTCCTCCTTTTATATCTCAAGGGGATACCACATGCCCCTCTCCCTCTCCAAACTGGACTATTCTTCTCTTCATAAATGGACGGAGATCGGTACGGTTGCTGTCCGGGTGCCCTTCTGACGGGACGGCCCATATCTACCCCCACTTCCGCCGGAAACAGGTGCGACGTGGGATTATGGCTGTCTGTTGATGACGCGACCAGTGTCAGACCGGTCACAGATCAGTCATCCTTGTCCACCACGTGTCAGCTTAGCAACGTGCATTTTTGCCCTTCTTCATATAGCATCTTGCCTGTAATGGTTGGGATGAAGCCTGGTATAAATCTAACCAGGGCTAACGTGCCATCTCTAAGAGATTACACGCTAGCTCCGGCTTGAGACGAGTGCCTAGAGGCTTTCGTCTTGACGGGATGGGGCAAGGCGTGCGTCAGACCGCCAGTCGCCACCTAACCCGTGATCTGACCGGTCTGTGACTGGTCACAGACCGGATAAAGGAACGCGCTGCACTACGCTGCATGCAGCGTGACACGTTCGACCAGACCGCAATAAATGTAGTTAGGTGAGGCTTACCGTGTTCACCCAACCCATTCATGTGGCGCTAACTCCACAAGGGGTCGGGGCGCCTCGGCCCTCGGGGCCGGGGCAGGAGTCACCCGACCCCCCCTCGGGGAAATCAGGAGGAGGGCGGACACCTCACCCTCGGGCCCGACGTCCCCGAAGGTGCCAGGCCACGTGGGCGATTGTGTCTGCCTCAAGCCTCTGGTCACGATACTCCCGGTCCCATATCACCGACAGTAGCCCCCGGCGTTATGCCAGGGCGATCGCCCTTCTCAAGGGAAGCGGTCGGGCGTGACGCCACTCCTAAAGCCTGGTGACAGGTGGGACCGGTCTCCATGGTTGGGCAGAAACCCAACGGTCTCAAATCATGCACATCGGTAATGGTGACTTGGCTGTCCATAATGGGCGGTCTCTTCAAGACTGCCACATCACTTGAGCGGCGTACGAATCTGGGTGAACCGATTTGCTTCGCCTGGAGATATGGTAACGTCGCTTCGGTCAGCGAGCGTAATTAACGCGCGCACGATACGATCTATCTCGACTGCCACAACCGCATATCCACCTCATGCGCCGCAAGCGGGCGAATGGGATTAGTGGAAACGTGGGCACGAGAAACGAGGGAGCGAGATAGTGAGAAACGAGGGAGCGAGATAGTGGGCGCGAGAAACGAGGAGCCGGGCACAGCGATGGCAAGGGTATAAAGACACCGAGGAAAGGATTTGCTCCCTTCCTTTCGCCATTATTCCCCTTGCCTTCGCTGCTTGAGCCCTAACTCTTTCTCTGCTGCGCCTTTCCTTCGCCACACGCGCTCGTTCTCAATCATCCCTTCCTCCGGCGCCATGGCACGGGGTTCCGCTCTGCTCGACGGAAGCGTACTTCCGCCTTCTCGCATCGTGAGCGAGAGGCATGCCGGGCTGCCGCGCCGCTTTATGCCGGAATCTGCCACCGGCCGGGAGATAGTGATGCTGGGCGAGGGACGCCCGGCACCAGACTACCCGGGGCGGTCCGTCTTCTTCCTCCCCTTCGCAATGGCAGGGCTGGTTCCGCCATTTTCTTCTTTCTTTATGGATGTTCTGGATTTCTACGATCTCCAGATGGCGCACCTCACCCCCAATGCAGTGATGACATTGGCCATCTTCGCGCACCTGTGCGAGATGTTCATTGGGGTGCGCCCATCTCTTCGGCTGTTCCGGTGGTTCTTCACCGTGCAGTCGGTGTCGCCGCCGTCGGTGGTTGGTGGCTGCTACTTCCAGCCGCGGGGGCCGGTGTTGAACCACTACATCCCCTGCGCCCTCCGCAAGAAGTGGGACGACTGGAAGAGCGACTGGTTCTACACCCCCCTCGCCAACGAAGCGCGCCTCCGACTTCCAAGTCAGCCCCCGGCGCAGGTCTCCAGCTGGCGGGCGCCGGTAGATCTGGGGGATGACTATGACGCCGTCCTCGACCGACTGGCGGGCCTGCGATCCCAGGGGCTCACAGGGGCCATGGTGTACGGCGACTACCTCCGTCGCCGGATTGCGCCGCTCCAACGGCGCGCCCGGGGCGCCTGGGAGTACACCGGGTCCGAAGACTACATGCGGACCCACCAGGGAGTCAGATGGGATTGGGCTCCCGAGGACTTCAAGATCGTGGTCCAAAGGGTGCTGAATCTCAGCTCCGTGGAGGCATCTCTCATTCCTCAAGGAATCCTCCCCCTCTGCAGCGATCCCGACCGCGCCTCCATTCTGACCATTATGATGGGGGTCGGGGCCTCAGAGGAGGAAACTCCTAAGGGCCACGACAGCGCGGGCGAGAGCCGCCGGGGGGAACAATCTACCCCAGGAGGGGGTCGTGCTTCTGGGCCCCGCGTCGGGGGCTCGGGGAGCAGCCGCCCTGCCGACGCCCAGGGGAAGAGGAAGCTGGGAGGAACACCTCCCCCATCTCCTCCCCGAGGGGGCGGGGCGGTGCGTGCCAGCAGTCGGCACCCGGAGGGGGCCGCGCCGACATCGCAGCCCGAGGGGGAGCGCAAGAAGAAGCGGCTCCGCAAGATGGGGGAGACGGAACCATCCCGGGGAAACCTGATTTCCCCTCCAAGGTGGTCATTTAACCGACCCCCTCGCAGGTTCGTCCCACTCTCATTGCGACCGTCTTTCTTTTATCCCAAAAGCAAGTTTTCCCTTACCCATCTTGTTTGTCTTCTGGTTTTTTCTTTTGCTTCAGCGATGTCCCGTCACGTTCCTCCCGCCATCCCAAGTCCGGCCAGTCCGAGGCCGAAGATCCGGCGGCCGCAGAGGAACGGAGGCGAGAATCTGACCGGCGAGAGGCCGCAGATCGCCTTCGGGAAGCCGAAGAGGCCGCCCGGGCTCGCCATGCAGAGGATACCGCTCGGGAGGAGGCCGCCCGGGCTCGCCAAGCCGAAGAAGCTGCTAAGGAGGAGGCCGCCCGGGCTCGTCAGGCTGAGGCGATGGCGTCTTCCGAGGCAGCTCACGACAAAGCTGCTGGCGCGTCGCTTGGGCCCACTCCCTCGGGCGACGCTCAGGCGACAGCCTCCGGGGCGGCTCGCGACGAGGCCGCGGGCGGATCGCCTGGGCCCACTTCCCCAGGCGACGCCCAGGACCAAACGGGTCCGGGGGACATCCCCGAGCCCAGTGCGTCCTCCGGCGGGCCGAGCCGCGTCGCATTCTCTCCAAGGCGGCTCTTCTCCTCGTCTTCTGTCGCCCCGCTGAGCGCCGAGCCCCTTCTGCAGGCCTTGGCCGCCGCAAACACCGCGGTGCTAGATGGGTTCAGCGCCCAAGTGGAGGCCCTGCGAGTGGAACGAGCGGAGCTCGAGGCCGCATGGGCGCGTGTCGAGGAGGGGCGGCGCTCGGTGGATGTCATGGTGGAGGTGGGCCGTAAGGCTCACCGCCGTCACGTCTCGGAGCTTGAAGCCCGCAAAGCGGCGCTGGCAGAGATCGCCCGAGAGGTGGAGGAGGAGCGGGAGGCCGCCCTCATTGCCACCACCGCGATGATCGAGGCGCAGGACACCCTCCGCCTTCAACACGGGAGCTGGGAGGCGGAGCTAAAGAAAAAGCTCGACGCCGCCCAAGGGGTCCTTGACACCGCCGCTGCCCGAGAGCGGCGGGCAACGGAGATCGAAGCGGCGTCCCGGCGGCGCGAGGAGGCCCTTGAGGCCCATGCTATGGCATTGGAGGAACACGCCGGCGTCGTGGAGAGGGGCTTGGCGGACCGCGAGGCCGCCGCCGCTATCCGGGAGGCAACGCTGGCGGTGCACGAGGCCGCCTGCGCCGAAGAGGAGTCCGCGCTCCGCCTCCGCGAGGACGCACTCGCTGAGCGGGAGCGAGCTCTCGAAGAGGCCGAGGCCGCGGCGCAACGGTTGGCGGATAGCCTTCCCCTCCGTG